CTGGTACGACCCTTCCCCCGTCCCCGCTCTGCTCCGCTACATAGCCCCCATTTCGATCTTCAAATCACGGAAAGCTTCCTCAACATCTTTGCCACGTGTAGTAAACAGGACTGGAAGCATAGAGGCGTTGATCAGCCCCTCTGTGGAATGCACCGCGAGCTCCACTTACATGCTGAGTCGCAGCGGTATTTATATGAATAAGGATCTATGAAACACTCCGGGCCAGCTGACGCAATCTTTGTCTTGTTCAAAGGAACGTACGTCATAGCTACGGTATAGTTCATTCACACTAAATTAATTTCAGATTTCTAGGTGATGTGGAAACGAGAAGATGTGGACAGTCACAAAATCGCTGTCAAAAAATTCCAGGAAGTGCAATGATTCAGTGGGAGTAATAGGTAAATGAATGAATAATGAATGGTGAAAAAGTTTCAATTCTTTCCCCATGTTGTCCCATTGGAGGCCGGTAGTCCCTCCGGTTAACATGCACTTTTCGCGGTAAGCCCATAGATGTTCTCCGGTTGAAAAACGTGAAGAAATAGCAATAGCAACAGCAAGCCGTCGAAAACAAGAGAGAAAATGCAAGCAAGTAGGATGACAGATGCGGTAGCTGTAAATGCGGACGGAGTGACTTTAGAAACCCTGCTCTCCAACGGTCCCATCCTACACCGTATTGAATCTAAACTTGTGCAAGGTTATCCATTGCGTCCAGAAGGGATCAAATTGTTGTGAGTAATCGCGGAACGCGCCTTTGAGCGAAAATGCTCTCTGCTACACAAGGGTGGTCAATTGTGTATCCTTGCTGTACATTAGTTTCTTCTCTTTCCATGGGTTCCCACAGAGACGGTAGATCACAAGCGGTGAAAGTCACTGCCAGGATCGGATAGGTCCCAAGTCGGGCTAACTCGGTCTTCCGTGCCTCCCTGAATGGTTGTTTGACTGTTACTAGACTACCAGACTTGTTTAAGGAATAACAAAGTTCAGTGGTTTATCATTCTCTCTTTCCAGTCCAAACGGAATGCTATGAGAAGATATGACTCTTCAAACAAGCGGTTTTTCAATTGCCTGACGACTGCTGAATAATTTGCCTCAGAAAATACATGCGACAGCGAGGGCATCCGCGCATAATTTTTGTGCTGAAGGAGGGAAAGCCCCTTCTGAGCCCTCCTCTGCAGGGGATAATGATGGAACGACTATTTCCCTATCTCCATGACATGTCCTGATCAGGAAGTTGCTGGACGTTCTTTTTCGTTGGAAGTAGGAATCTATTTGTCGGTCATGACAGTGGTTGAAAGAAGAAAGGATCTCTGAAACGTGTCGAAAAAATGTTTCCCTGAATAGTAACCTTGCAGGAGGCTTTTGTAGCTAGTAAACAGCGAAATCCAATGCAAGGTCTAGTTATGAACGGCACACCATTTATTGCTAATGACCTTCAAACATTACTGAAAAAACTTACAATAGTATATGTGGCGATGAAGTAATTGCTGAAAGTAATGATGGTGGAATTTTCGCTTTTTTGTCGTCTTTTTGGGTGACAAAAATAATGCATTTCCAGTACCTTAATGTAATGCAACAAGTTCAGCTCAGCTCGCTCTCCCTTCGAACAAATAAAAGACAACGTTTATTCATGTTCACATACCAGAATATATACAGATTTTTACAGACGAATAGTATGTTTCGAAGTGCATCACGAGCTTTGCTCTGCCTTCTTCATTCCACAAGGTGCGACGCTAGCAGTGGCTTCTGAAGTGGTCCCTGAAGTGAGAAAAGGCGGAAACAAAAACAATGACGAAGCTATAGATTCTATCAAGCGAGAGACATATACACAAGAGTGAGGTGGTAAAATTTCGTTATTCGACCCCCATCAATCGTACCGCCGAGGAATGATGCAAGGCAATTTCTAATTTATTGCCAGTTA